TGGCTAAAGCTTCGGTAGACGTGGCGAAAATTTTTGCGCGGTAACTTTATTGAAGAACTGCCGCTTTCAGACTATTGTAATATTAAGTACATATAATATTTATTATAAGCAGCTACAATATATTAATTTCATAATTATTTAATATTGAATCCTTTATTTTTATTTATAAAATTTTTTGTTGGAAATTTTAAATAGATAGAAATTTATGGTTGTTCTGTATTCTTTTCCGTTGTGTCATGAGATCATGATTTCCTTACTTTTATATCGGTTTTAAGGTTAGTCGTTTTATCAGTTACATCTAAATCATTAAAATAAATACAAACTAAACTACCATGAGTGTACTAAATTGGTAAACAAAAAGGCAGAATGTTATCTATTTGTTTTTTTCATAGTTTAATAGTGATATTTTTTCTTAGTACTTGCCGTACCTTCAGAACACTTCAAGTTAACTCTACTTTCAAATTTTTTCCAATTTTATTGTAAATTACCTTATTTTAGCAGATTCTGATTTTTTTTTATATCAATTGGTATTTATTGCTAATCCAAAGTTGGCAGTCCTGGTGCTAGCTGCTCACAGTGTGGCTTTGATAAGCGTCATGGATTGCCGATTAATGGTTGGTTTATAAAAAAGTATTAGTCCTAACTTAGCCGTAACTTAAACTTAATCTTAGTCCTAAAAAGTTAAATGTACAGAATGTAATGTATCGGTTTATAAAAATCTTAACCTTGCCCTAGCCGTAAGGAGGTCTTAAGACATGACCTTGAAAGTTCCCATCTTTTAATTTTTCTAGGAATAAGACTAAGATCTGAGAAGTGCGCATGCACAAGTATTGCATTTCGTAGCATAGTGGTCTCCTGTCTTTGTCTATGGTGGTCGCCATTACGTCATTACCATAGTAATAGGTTATATTTTTCTTTTCACTCACCAACAAAACAAATAAAATAACATTACCACATAATAAAAAACAAGTATTATGCTGTAATATTACTAGCCATGCGCGTAGTCGAATCGCTCATTGGTTAATCTTAATAAAATTAGGACCACACATTGTTTTTATAAACGTGTACCTATTCTTAGGACTAATACTAAGATTAGTGTAAAGGTAATTTATTATTAGTATATTTAGTATTAGTGTAATGACTAAGACTAAGTTAGGACTAATACTTTTTTATAAACCAACCATAAACTGTTTTGTTTGCCATAAGAAGTCACAAGATCAATTAATTGTGCAGTTTACACAAAAGTTTATAAAGTGCTTAGAAATTTTGGAAATAAAGAGGAAGAACCAATTAATGTACAGTGATGTTATATTGCCAGCTCAATTAAGTGGACTTGAAGTGGACATCATTCTCGATGTTACCGACGTTTCACGGCATTGTCAGAAAAGTACAAAAAGCCTGCTAGATAGTCTTCTGAAAACAATGCTGAGCCTTGCGCAAGTTCGAGTACAGATATACTAGCGACTGATTTATCTGTCTCTGACGAGTAAATAAACTGTATGCACAACCTATAATTTTCATTTAAAACGTTTTAAGGGCAATATGTAATTATAAAAAGATTTTTTTTTATTTCTTCAGTGAACAAATCAATCAATCGAAAGATCCAACAAATCTTGATGACAATTTAGATGAGAAACAGAAACGATTAGACAATGAAGAAAGTAGTGAAAGGAGTGCAGAACTTCAATTTTGTATTATCTGTGCCAAAGCGCGTAAGCGTCGTAACAATCGTACGGAAAAGCTTCATTTAGCTCATAAAACCGATACGCTTGATAGATTCAAATCGAAAGCTTTATTAATCAATAATATGGATTTGTACGTAAACATTGAAAACGCTTTATTAAAACGTGAACAAATTTTTTATCACGCTTCGTGCAAAAACCATCTTGAAAGTACGAGCGAATCGATTGTTGTTGCACAGAAACTTCAAACAGATTGGCACAAAAAGCGAGATTTAAATGCAATTATATTAGATGAAGTTTGCGAGTTTATTGAAAAAAATATCGTACAAAATGAAAACTGTTATTTCTTTAGTTTTATTGTGACTTTGTACAGCGATTGTTTAAGGCGAGAATGTAGCAAATTAAAAATTTTATCAGAAGCCATTTCATTTCGCGCTAACCGTTTGGAGGAGTACTTGAATACTAGATTTAACAAACAAATTAGCATAATTATTATCAATAAAAAAAAATGATAACACCGTATGGTTCTGTGTTTTTGACGACCGATATCGAGACTATTGAAAAGCGCGACATAGTGGAACGCGCAGCTTTTATTTTGAGAGAAGAAATAAGGGCAATTGAAGGCAATACGTTACCATATGATATAATGACAAATGATTTAATTGCGGGAGAATGTCCTGCAATTCCAACAATTTTAGAAGATTTTTACGTCTCATTATTAAGCGGTTCAAAGTATAGACGTAAGCGCAGCTCCAACTGTCAAAGGTTGGCAAAGTCATTTAGTGAGGATATCATTTATAACGTTACAGTGGGTAAAATCAAGCCCTCTAAGCACATAACTTTTGGCCTTGCATTAAAAGCTTTAACCAACAGTAAAAAAGCCATTAATATTGTTCATCGTTACGGACATTGCTGCAGCTACACCGTACTAGAAGAATTGGAGACAGAGTCAACTTTAACTGCTTCTAAACAAACCGATATTTGCCCGGAAAATATAATTCGCACATCAAATTTATGCACAGGATTAGCTTGGAATAATTTTGACCGATTTGTAGATACAACTTCAGGTAAAGATACCCTACACGATACCGTTGGTATAATATTCCAAGATGTAGATACAGAAAATAATATTAAGCAACTAATTGATAGTAGTAATACAAATCTTACTCAGAATTCCGAGCAAAATCCACAAAGAAAAATTGATAAAAATATTATTGAAAATGAAGACAGTAGTAATGATAATAGTCATACTGCTGAAAATTTACATATAGATGGTACGGTCAATATTTGTGGTAATTGTTGTTACTATATCATACGTTTAAATAATGGTGTAAGCTCAAAAAATTATAATTAATAATAAATTTGGAATTTTAAGCAACTTCCGCGCAAAAACTTTCGCCACGTCTACCGAAGCTTTAGCCACCTCGTATCGAAGGTATAAGACGTTTATTTGACAATAATTATTGTAAGATATCTATAGACAAAAAAGCAGCTTTGTAGATTGTAATTTAATCCCGGTATGAGTTATTATTCAGAGCGGCTTACAGTGAATCGGCGCAGCGACTGCGCTCGGGAGATCGTGCATTCCATTGCGTCTATCAAGGCTTTGCACCCTTAGATGATCGGTAGACTGTTTTTTTTTGGTTCTCTTATAAACTAAAGTATTTGAGAAAAAAAATTCAGCCTTGTAGAAATAAGTCAAAAAAGTTAATTTTTCAACACCTTGCGTGGGTGGTAGACCCTTGATGGCCCCCCTTCCGACGCGGTAGACTATCACTATACTGTATTTTTAGGTATAATTGATCACTCTAAAAAGTTTCAGCCTTGTAGGTATAAGGCATTTAAGTATTATTTATTTACATGTTTAAAAAATTGTTACTAACGTTTGCCCCCACATTGGCGCGGTAGACTGCCGTTCCGTTTACTTACGACATTGAAACAACAAAATGAGAAAAAATCAGCTTTGTAGGAATTGGTGCAAAATTTCTGTCGCTGTCTCCCGGACTATCAGATAAGTGCTCCAAGTTATTTAGCCTATAGTCATGGTAACCACTGGAGCTCAAAATTTTTTGCACAGAGCTTCTTTTTAAATTTAATGCAAAAGTGCCCTGTCGTATAGAATTTCTAGGATTTTCCTCAAAATATTGTAATACCCAATCTACTGTAATATCATTACACACTGATTTTAAAATTTATTTCTCTTTTCTTGATGAAAATGCATTTCCGTTAGCACGCAAAATTCGTTCTAATCTGGCAAATATTTTTGGGTTAACAGTTTGACGCTCTGCATATCTCTCACGATGTAAGTTAACATTTTTTTGACATTCACCATAAATTAAAATCATGTCAACTTTTTTATTGTTTGTGAACATTTTTTAATTTTTGGCAACCACTTACTAGTTTGTTTTTGTAAGAAATGACATTGTATATGAGGAGGTATACGATTTAAAACAAAAAAGTCTTGAATGTAATGTAGAGCGTTCGTCTGTTGTTTGTCGGGAATTAAAATTGCTAATTTTGTGTATATATAGACCCCCTAAGGGTAATTTAGATATATTTTTTCAAACACTAGCGGAAATACTAAATCTAGCACATAATTCTTTTAGAACATATAAAGTTATCTTATGTGGAGATTTCAATATTGATCTACATATTAATGCTAACATAAATGCCCAAAATTTTAGGAATTTGTTACTTATGTACAATTTAAAGCAAACTATATTTGATCCTACTAGAATAACAAAAAATTCTCAGTCATTGATAGATAATATATTTATAAACTTTGATAATGCTCATATAGGTAAAGTAATTACAACAGCTTTATCTGATCACGAGGGCCAGTTACTGGAACTTGAGGCACCTGAAACAAAAAAAACTAAAATAAACAAAAAGAGAATTTTTTCAGAAACTAAAATGCAACAATTTAAACAAGAACTGCAAAAATATGATTGGGCTGATGTTTATTGCGCGGAAGACCCAAATAAAACATTTAACAGATTTGTAAGTACATTTAAAAATATTATGAATATACTTTTTCCGGTAAAAACTTTGAGAGAAATGAAAAAATCAAAAAACTGGATCACCCAAGGTATAAAGATATCTTGCAGAAATAAAAGAAATATGTATGTACAAAAAAGGAATCGCGAAATATCTACTGAAATATATAAACAGTATTGCAGTATTCTCAAAAAAGTCATATACACGGCAAAAACATGGGCACATATGTCATATATTGAGTCAACAAAAAACAAAGGAAAAGCCATTTGGAATTTGGTGAAAACTTTTAGTGGAAAAAAAACTAAAAACGACGATACGATATTAAAAAATATTGATATTGCTGAAAAAAATAAAATAAAAGTTTTGAACAATGTAAATAACTTCTTTGCAAATCAAGGCGATCAAGTCAATCACATTAATCATATTAATGTTGAAAAAGACAATCAATTTTCCGATAACACCATATTTTTACTTCCGACCGACCCAAATGAGGTCTACAATGTAATTATGAGTTTAAAAAACACTAATTCTGTAGGGGAAGATGAAATACCAGTTAAATTACTTAAATTTACAGCGGCTGAAATATCAATTCCACTAACATACTTAATTAATTTAACATTAAAAACAGGAACTTTTCCTGAAAATCTTAAAATTGCCCATGTTAAGGCCGTGTATAAAAAAGGTGAAAAAAGTCTAAGGAACAACTATAGGCCTATTGCATTACTGTCAAATATAAGCAAAGTTTTTGAAAAAATAATCTATAACAGAATATTACATTTTTTGGAATGTCATGATCTGCTTACAGATGCACAAAACGGGTTTAGGAAAAATAAAACAACAACTAGGGCTATATATCAGGCATTGTGTGAAATTACAAGATTATTAAATGAAAAAAACAGTACCATGGCTGTATGCTTGGATTTATCCAAAGCGTTTGATTCTGTGGATCATGACATTCTAAATAAAAAGATTCAAATGTATGGCATTCGAGGTGTTGCCTCAGAATTGATAAAATCTTACCTGCTGAATAGGAAGCAGTGTGTTGTAGAAACGGACGATACTGGCGCTCTCATAAAATCAAACGTAGTATTAATAGAAAGGGGTGTACCTCAGGGGTCGATATTGGGTCCTTTGTTGTATATTTTATACACAAATGACCTGCCCTCAACAGTTGATGTAAAAACTATTATGTATGCTGATGATACATCTATAATAATCGGTAATAAAAATAAGGAATACCTAAAACAAATGGTGACCGCCACATTGGATTCCCTGGGAGACTATTTCTATAAAAATAATTTAAAATTAAATAAAGAAAAAACACAAATAATCAACTTTACATACAAAAAGGAGGATAATGAGATTATACATACTACTGGCAATGACATCATAACATCTATGAATAGCACCTCCTTTTTGGGGGTAAAGATTGATTCACGTTTGAACTGGAAAACCCATGTAGACCATGTTGGTCAAAAGATCGCTAAATACTGTTATGCTCTAAAAGTAATAGCTCAAAATATTAATATTCCTACAGCATTTATAGCATACCATGCATATGTTCAATCTCAAATAAAATATGGAATTGTCTTCTGGGGAAACTCTAGTGATGCTATCGATTTATTTGTACTACAAAAGAGATGCATTAGAAATATTCTAAACATGAAACAGACAGATAGCTGTAAACAAATTTTTATTGAAAAAAGAATACTTACCTTAGTGAGCTTATACATATATGAAGTAATTATATTTGTTAAGCAAAATATAAACTTATTCGCAGAT